AACGCCCGGGCGAAACGCTCCCCGGGCGAGGGATCCGCGGCCTCCGCGAGGCGGTCGCGCGCGAGCGGATCGGCGGGTTCGTTGAGCGAGGAAGGGGGGGAAGGGGGGTCGTCCGCGAGGACGAACTCGCGGAGGGCCGCCGCGCAGCCGGCGAGCACCGCCGCACTCGAGGCCTCCCCGACCTCCTCGAGGCGGGTGAAACGCGCGCCGAGGGTTCGCGAGGCGGGCGGATCCCCGCCACTTCCACTCATAGGGGTCGCGCTCGCGGTCGGGGTCGTGTGGCGCCCGCTAAAGGCGCGAAGGAGGTCGAGGAGGTCGAGCCCGATTCGCCGGCAGCCCGCCTCGACGGCGTCGCTGCTTTCCACCACCACCACCACGTCCAGATAGCGCCGCTCCACCCACCGCGTGAGCTCCGCCGCCATCGGTAGAAAAATGAAATGAAATGAAATAAAGTCAACCAAATGATACTAATAATACGAATAATCGTACGAAACCCCTTCGGTGGCGTTGGAATGCGTCGTTCCCTGCTCGCCTTTTCGTTCGTCTTCCGCCGATTTCGCCCCCTCTTGGGCGTTAGAAATGGGTGGTCGATGGGGCGACGGGAACGTCCAAAGGCATCCAAGACGCGGAGGGCTCCCTCACGTGAAACGGGAAGGTGCGAGAAAGGGAAGGGTAGGGGGGAAAACACACGCAGGATGGGGGCGCCACGGCGTCTTTCGTTTTCTTGTTTCTTTAACCCTTTTGTACTCTCTTTTTACGAAGTTAATAACAGGGGTGGATGGATAAATGGGCTACGGGTTTGTGTAGATTTGAGCTTTTTTTTTTTTCGTTCCTTCTCCTGTGGTGGTAAAAGAAGGAAAGAGGACGGAATAGAAGAGGGGTAGAATGGTAAACATATGGTGCCAATTAATAATCGCAACAATAAAACCAATATAGATAACAGAAGGCGCGATCCATAGTATCGTAGCAAGGATCAAAAAAATACTTATGCCTAATAAATTTCACATATATATATATATTTAATCGTTTTTGTTGTCAAAAAGACCATCCCCTTGCCCTCTAACAAAAGTCGTTCGATTGATTACATGCATCCCCGTATCATCTTCTTACCGCTCATGGTGAAGTGGAGGAAGAAAACAAAGGGAAATGAAGCAACTAATCAATGAAAATATAAGAAAAAAGATTCATTGAGATACATAACGGGGAAAATAAATTGACAAAATTCCCCAACAAATGATATTAAAGGTTTATCAGCGCTACCTTTTGTGAAATCTTCTCCCCCTCACTTCTTAGAATTCATTTTTGATACATATTTTTTAAATAGGTCATGTTTTTATGTTAAGTGGAGACACTTCAATACGAGTATACAAGTTTGACCGAAGAATAACGTATTTTTAGTTAAATTTTATCAATTACCGAACTTAATATCCAATGTGCAATTCGAGAATAGTACTCTGCCGTCACAAATAAAAATTGCGAAGAACATTGCCGGGAAAGGTAGGAGAAATCAGTACTACAAAAGTATGTGTGCATCAGTAATCATATAAATATATATACTATATCTTATATTTTTCTGCGAATATTATTAACAACTCTCTACAAAAATAGAGCAAAACACGGGACGCCTTCTTGCTATTGGAATCAGTTTATTCCCATTTTTGCATTTATTCTTCATTAAAAAGCAAACAAACTCCTAATGCATAAAGCGTGAATAGATATATCGTGCCCCAAAAATATGGAAAGCACTCATGAGCGTCTAATGAACATTAAGCATCATAAAGTGAAAGTGAATGATAGGCGTCGTTCAATACAATACATTCCATTTTAACAAAGATTCAACTTCCAAGATTTGCACATCGATAATCATCCATGTACATCCAGATTTAACAGGCAAGGCTAATTCCATTCATAGTTGAAGTTTAACATGATCATGCTTGTTTTGAACTTTACGAAACATCATAGGCCACGGACGAACTTTTAATGGTAGCAACTTTTGTGTAGTCATCCTATGCAGTAACAATATTGGTTATTTCCCTTTGTTTCGAGGAGGATAGTTCTTCATATCTGAGGGGAAAACTGTACTGCACAATAAGGGGTAATACGTAAACGGGTATAAAATTATAGACAAAAATCTCGCGTCAACACACGCGAAATGTTTGTGCACAATTTTGCATATGCATATTTAAAATGATGCGCAGCACCCAAAGGGTGAGTGAGAAATATCAAAAACACATTTTGATTTTAGTCTGCAAACGGATTAGAAATTTGTTAAAAAAACAAATAGACACTACAATTGACATTTTTTCTTTGAAAATGGGTACACTGATCAGGCTCCCAAACTATGGCAGAAAAATAATACACGAAGCGAATACCGATCCTCTCCATTCCCTCTTTACCCCTCACCTCGTAACGCATTTGGACTCTTTTTTTAAAAACATCGTTGAGTTGGATCCCATGCGAACTCTCTTTTTTGATTACTTAAAAGGAAAAATGAATATATAGATATTAAAAACAACAGCAATATCCCTGAGTTTTCAGGGCAACCTTCTTTTTTCCCTCCCCTCCATTCTTTTTCTAAGAGGCATCCCCATCGGTACCTCGTCGTATTTCGCGCTGGCGTTTGTCGAACCAGTCGAACATCCAGTCGTAATATCCTTGTCGACGCTGCGGCTCGACCCTTTCGAGGGATTCAAACCCCACACTACGTGGATCCTGCCCCATCGGGCTCTCACTCGGGCTGAAGACGGGTGCGTTTGCCATCTTCATCGAGCTCGCGAGCGAGGCGCCCGGAACCTTGCCCAATATCGAATGGTCCCGCACGAAGTTCGTCAGAACGGAGTCGTTCACCATCGGGGGCATCGATGAGCCCACCATGTTTGTCAACTCATCCCCACCTTCCTTCTCCTTCTCATCCTGATTTTCCTTCACCATCCCCTCACTTTTGCCCTCGTTCTCGTTCTCGTTCCTGTTCCCGTTCTCGTTACTGTTTCCATTTTCCTTTTCCTTTTCGTTCTTCTTCACTTCCTCCTTTCCGAGCTCAGAGAGCTCCGTTTGGGGGGATTTCATGCCCCCTTTCGTCGCCCCCCACCCCCGCGGGCACGTATACCCCATCTGCTTGCCTAATCTGCGAAATAACCCGCGCAGGTATCGATAATTCGGCCTCTCCTGGAAGCTGAGGTTGCGGCAGTAGCGGCAGTACTCGAGGAACTCCTTAGGGAGCCCTTTGCAGAGCTCCTCCGGCGACGTCGCGATCTTCTTCTCGCCAATTTTGATTGATTTGAAGTGGCGATCCTGATCCTGCAGGCCTTGCCAGGGCAGAGAACCTTTCAGGAGGTAAACCAAGACGTACCCAATCGACTCCAAATCATCCCGTCTGCTTTGCTCGTAGCCGCGATGCGCGTTGATGCTGCAGTAGCGCGCCGTTCCCGTGAGGGGTTTGCCATCGACGAACGAAATATGCACCTGCCGTCGATTATCCCAGTATAACTTGGAGAGCCCGAAGTCGATGAGGTGGAGAATGTGCGATTTCTTCGCGGTGCCGAACACAAAATTGTCGGTTTTGATATCGCGATGCATCAACCCCCGCTCGTGGATGTACTCCACCCGATTCAGCATCTGCTCCGAAAGCATCAGCACCGTTTTTAGGGAGAAGCGGCGATGGCAGTAGTTGAAAAGATCCTCCAGTGACGGACCGCACAGCTCCATCACCATCACGTTGTAATCGCTCTCGTTTTTAAAGCAATAGACGGCGGGGATGCCAACCGCGACGAAGGGTTTCTTCTTCGGCGGGTGGCGAAACCTCAGGCTGGAGTTACAATCATATTCATCCTCGTACCCCGTAGGGTCTGAGGAGCAGGGGAATATGTCGGAGATATCCAACGGCGGCTGATGAAGCAGGTGGTAGACCTTGCTTTCGTATTCGAGCTGTGGGTAGGCAATGCTCTTCTTCTCAACCTTGACGGCCACCAACGTGTTGTTTCGCTTATCGTAACCCTCAAAAATGTCGCCAAACGAGCCCTGGCCGATTAACTGCTTTAAGACGTACTGCCCATTGATGGAGGATAACGAGGAAAGCTGCTTCAGCTTTTCTTTCGGAGACTTCAGAGGCACATTCATCCCACCGAGACCCGCGTAGAGCGGAACGAAAACGTTAAGAAAACAATTTCTTCACTCACCGCGCCTTTTTTCTCGCTTGCAGAAAAATCCTATCCCCCACCCACCCCACCAAATACTAATGAAAGCGAACGAGAAATTTTCGAAAAGTGATACACAACGGAATAAGCTGATATTCGAATGTTTTAGAAGTCTAATTTGCGAAGCAAAATAGCTAAAAATATCGTAAAGCAAAAGTCGAAGAGAGAGGGAAAAAATGAGCTTATCACGATGAAGATCGCATCATATGACTATCCCCCCTCCCCCTTTAAACAAGGGAGGTAACCTAGTGTTCACCAATATCAACATGGAAACTAAATAGTTGTTTGTTGACTTTTTCTTTTAATTAATCAGGAATCTACTTCTGTGAAGGAAACAAGCGCGCACCGGCGTCTATGAGAGCTTTGGTAGGATAGGTTGTCTTTCCGCGTTGCCTTACGCTAACACCACGCCCTGGACGTTCAAAGCCCTCTTATCTATGAAGGTGGATACCGTGCAACGGGCGGAGGGAGGAAAAGGAACTAATACCCCTTCCCGCGAGCATTGAAGGGGAAATGGTTCCCCTTTGTATATCAACATATATATATATATATGTGTGTTTGCTTGCCTTTTCTTGCGTTTTTCTTGTGTAAACGGGAACCTCGTAGGAGGTGTTTTTCCACGCGATTTAAGGGCTGCTTTTCGTTTTCGCGCGAACCCCCTCCCCGGCGCGTGGGAGCAGCTCGCGGAAGAGCGCCATTGCCTCCTGCGTCGAGGGTGAATCGCGCGTCGCCGCGGGTGGAAACGCCCCGGCCTCGCGAGCGCCCCCGTCAGATTCGCGCGGAAAATCCCGCGGATCCGCCCGTCGACGACGGAGGACGGAGTCGATTAGCCACCCCGCGTTCACCTCCACCGCCGCGTTTTCCCCCACAGCGGGGTTGGGTTTTTTTTCCACCGCTTCCACGCGATTTTCCGCGCAAAACCCCACCCCGTGCGCATCCAGAAACCCTCTGAGGTCGACAACGAGGTCGAGATGCGGATTCGCGCGGTTGCGCGTGAGGGTACCACCGAGCACGTGAATGAGCGTTGTTGCCAATTCAAACGAATCTGCAGGGGAGAGGGGGCTGGCGGGTTTCCGCGTTTCCTCTCGCAAAGGGGGGTTCATCTCGAGGAAAAACGTCCAATCGTTGAAAATCGCGTCGTAGTACGGCCGCTCCCGGCGCTGGCCGATGGGAATCCGCTCCTCCCGCACCCCTTTCCGCAAAAACGCCAACGCAGCCGAGGCCGAAGAAGACGAAGACGAGGAGGTTGGTGTCGTCGATGAGGGCAATTCCGATGCGCCATTTTTCTCCTCCCCGCGAGGAATTTCGACGCCAAACACGGGGTGGTGATGCACCTCCGCGCGGATCTCCGGCAGCCGCGCGATCGCGAGCGCGTCGTACCCCCAACGCGGCGTTAAAATCGGAATTCCGAGGGCCTTCGCGAGGAGCACCTCCGGCCCCCACCCGGCCTCCTCGTCGAGGATGAGGTGGGTGGGGTAGGGCGCCCGCCACCGCCACCCGTTGAGAATCGTCGCCCCGAAGGGTTGGAGGATATCCGAGAGAAGCCCCGCCTCGCGTGTGATCAACACCACCCTCACCGCGTTTGAAAAACGCGAAACGAACGCCGACGGGGCGCAAGAAGGAGGCGCCAAGAGGGTTCGCCCCGCGGCTTTGCGTTCGGTTTCCTTCACCGGAGGGTTCGCGGCCTCGGAACGGCCTCCCCCACGTTTTTCCCGTCGAGAGGGGGGGGTTTTGGGAGAACCCCCCGCTCGACGGAT